GCGATTAAGAAAGCTGACTCCACTGTGATGTGACCCTGTCTCTCTCTCACGCACACACGACGCGATACTCTACATGGCACAAAACTCCGCATTTGAACAGTCAATAGCAAATACTTTAAACTATTAAGAACACATACTTACAGTAGCTGATTCAGAATAAGCACCAGATTGTCATAGCAAATTGAAGAAAAAGGTGGATACTCTATTTTTTATTTTTTTTTTCGAGTGAGAAGTAGTAGTTTGCCGGTACAAACCTCAAATTTGAAGTCTCATGTGATGGAGTTGATTTAATTAATTGATTTCTTTATGTACAAACTGATTAAGTTGTGGGTCAGTTTGGAAGAGTGTGAAAAATGTTTGTTTTTAGTACACTTCACCAAACCCACACTACAAAAGAATCAAAGAATAAAACCCAGCAAACCTTGATAATATTATTTGTGACATTAGAAGAAAATATATGGATATAATAATGTATGTATAAAACTAAACTGAACAATGTCTTAAATATTTTTTTTCTAGTTTCATTTAACATTTTCATTTCATTGACAGTTTTATTATACACGGACCTTTACTTTCATTAAAAAGGCGTATTTCTGCACATTTTGTAAATGGAAGCTATTTAAATTATATACAAGCGCAAACAGGGTGCTTAAAAAAAATCTTCAGCTGTTGGGGTTATTTCTCATCAAACACAACTTTAAGCAAATAGTGTTAAATCCTATCTAAATGAATTCTAATTATATTTTTATACAATACAAATAAAACGTGCTTCACTTAAAAAGCCTTGGACAAACTATAAATTCTATGCTTTGTTTTCCCTCAAAACCTCAAAAAGCGCTTGATGGAGTTTGAACTTCACATCAAGCTGCTTCCGATTCACACAAATGCCTTGAAGTCATGCATCTTCGGAAGCGGAGGCGCAAAGCAGAAAATATAGTTTTGTGGGAATCATCCTCAATCTTGAACTTGGTAAAACAATTATCTTTATTTAAAATGTTTCAGGTCTTAATACTTTTCCTTTTGTTATACTGGGATAAATCATACCGGATTGTATGCTAAAATTGTTGGATGTGGCGCCCTACCTAGAAAATTCTCCACCAGCTGCCACTGAACTTCAGTAAGACCTTTATTACTGACAGATGCAGTTCTTACTGTAAGTCTCTTTTCTCCTTTAGCCTGGAGGCGTTACTGAAGAAAAACCCTTTAGCTCATCAAGATGAGACCTGCAGTGAGACTATTGAGCCGTTACAGCGATAGTGGATAATAAGAAAGCGAGGGAAAACCTCGGTGTTCCCGCCTTTCCACTGCTGCCTCATTGTGTCAATCCTTCAGAGCTTCATCAGCTGCTGGAAACTCACGAACGTCCATTAATGTGAGAAGAGGAAGAGACAGAACGATAAAGGTAGATAGAGAGAAGAGCGCTGCTCTCTGATAGAGTGTCCTCTGAAAGTTTATATTGCCACAGGCTGCCAAACTGCCATTAGTGTAAAACAATTATCTTTATTTAAAATGTTTCAGGTCTTAATACTTTTCCTTTTGTTATACTGGGATAAATCATACCGGATTGTATGCTAAAATTGTTGGATGTGGCGCCCTACCTAGAAAATTCTCCACCAGCTGCCACTGAACTTCAGTAAGACCTTTATTACTGACAGATGCAGTTCTTACTGTAAGTCTCTTTTCTCCTTTAGCCTGGAGGCGTTACTGAAGAAAAACCCTTTAGCTCATCAAGATGAGACCTGCAGTGAGACTATTGAGCCGTTACAGCGATAGTGGATAATAAGAAAGCGAGGGAAAACCTCGGTGTTCCCGCCTTTCCACTGCTGCCTCATTGTGTCAATCCTTCAGAGCTTCATCAGCTGCTGGAAACTCACGAACGTCCATTAATGTGAGAAGAGGAAGAGACAGAACGATAAAGGTAGATAGAGAGAAGAGCGCTGCTCTCTGATAGAGTGTCCTCTGAAAGTTTATATTGCCACAGGCTGCCAAACTGCCATTAGTCCCTTCAGGAATGACTGTTCTCCCTAAGGTCCTCTCTGTTTAATACAAAAGCTCACTCATTCTGCTTAATAAAAGAAATATTCAACCGCTGGCAGCTAGAATCAGTAGGCAGCCAAATCAACGTTTGAGTATCACTGATGGACTTTCTTTTTTTGTATTTTTTGTACATTGCATTTTGTGTATTCAGGTGCTGCTTTGTACAGATTGTGAAATTCATTCATTTTTATTCTTCCACCAAACTAAATAAGGAAGCGTCCAGATGCTCTGCTAGTATTAGCACCGCTGTTCATCACACTGAAACGACAGGCTCATCTGCCGGCGCTGTGCGGCTCACGTTGATCTAGACAGAAGTCTAACAGGCACGTGGAGAATTGTGTTTTTGGCCACAGATGTTTCCTGAGCATGCCGATTCAGTCAACTGACGACAAACCCGCAGGGAAACTTGTGTTTATTGCCATCACGTTGGGCAGAGAATTGAAACCTGTTCCCCTGGATTGTGCTCCGTCATGTTCATTTAGTCTGTTTATTCGGCTCGGCCTTGTTTACCGAAGAGCTGGATAATTGAAACTTAACAGGACTGAAGGCAAATCCTTTTGTTCCTGAGTTTTGATTTCAGTCTGGTTTGTACATATTGTTTCTCTCTGCTGTTGTTTACAGCTAATCCTAATAAATAAGAGCGGATGTTAACAGGATATGTCTTATTCAACCTCAGGGCTCAGATCTGTGGAGGTGATTATTGGCTCTTATGTACTTGAGAAGCGAAAATGCCAACCTGCATATTAAAAACAGCATCATCCTTATTCACAATGTGTAGAATGTCTTGTTTCTCTGTTAATTACTTGGATGATGAAGAGTGTTCATATTACTGCGGGAACTGAATGGGCGCTGCTGCCTGATCAATACTGCCTCACAAAGCTCAGTCAGCCTTTATTGTGATTATGAATTACTGGATCAATTGAGGAGAAAAAAGCTGGTGTTAGTTTAAGCCTAGTTTAAGAATAAAGATCATATTTCAAGTGCATTATTAATTGATGAATATAATAATTGGGTTGAATACAAAGCTATTCATCTTTCATTAAAATATTTGTATTCTCACTATTTCATAACTAGTTGCTTATTAGCATGCATATTACTAGCATATTGGCTATTAGTACTTATAAAGCACATGTCAATGCCTTATTGGCAGATGGAGCTTTTGTTTAATTTCACAAAAACATGGCTCATATTTCAGCCTGAAGTCAACTTAAATGTAATATAATATAATATAATATGATATGATATAATATGATATAATATAATAATGTATTGTACATTTGTAGATATACATTTTATGTTTAATATTTTAGTACATTTGTAAATATGCGTTGTATCTACTTGAGTGTGCTTTTATCAAAAAAAACATTGTCAAGATTTTCATTACTGTATTAGTACAGTAACTGTGCAGTATAGTACAGTAACAAAATAAAAAAGTTGTCATTACTGCAATAAAACGAAGACTCAGCACAATATACTAAACATTAAATATAATTTTTTAAACATTTTTTTTCTTTTCTGTTTTTTTATTATTTGCTAAACAGAGTTTCTATAGGCTGATCATGCTACTATAGGAGAAAATGTGTTTTAGAATTATAATTCAAAGATAATAATACACTTTTTTTTGGTGTTAAATACAGTATATCGTAAACATGAAATTCACAGTCACATTAAAACACAATCCATTATTTATTTATTTATTTTTACAACACATTATAGTGTTAAATATATGTTTATGTTGAGTATAGCTTCAGTTCTACTAAACTAGATTAAAGGAATTAACAGTTGCTGTTAACAGCTGGCTGTCGTTACTGCGATCACTAGCTACTTGTCTAGACACCCTGCGTTTTGAACTTCCATAGAAATGCTCATCTGTTTCTAACCTAACATTAGCATCATCAGCAAGTTGTTGCCATAGAGACAGAAGGTTTGTTTGTGGCACCTGTAAAACATCACAACACCTGTCGACAATTCTGTCATTTCTCACACAGCAGCGAGAAAGAATTACAAAACGATGCTAGGAGAGTATTTTAGACTTTTTTCATATTCTTTCTCTTTGACACAATATTGTTTATGCACATAGAGCGATCTCATTTGACTCTGAGTCTCAGTGATGGAGTTTCGTAATAGGCCTGTTTGAAATGCTCTGCTAACGCTCCGACAAAATGAGCTACAATTACAGGCCAATTTAGAAAGTCAATGATTTATTTAGGAGACTGTTATGTTACTCTTTATATACTCATGAATTAAAAATCCGTTTGAATTGTTGAGTTTCTTTCAATTCACCAATGGTTGCTGACGATCATGTCACCAGACATCACCAGCTCTCATTGAAAATGAATGATGTCAGGCAATTTTAAAGAGCCACACACTCTAATTTTCACCTTGCTGTTCTTCTGGAGTGCTATTATCAATGATAAATAACCTTCATGCAATGCAACACATGTTTCTCTGAGCTTGGGTGTACTAGGCACGTTCCTGAAGCATAAGAGTGATCATCTCATTCATTACTGTGCTCAATAAAACAGCAGGAAAACTTCAGTGCCTCATGACAGTTTTATAGTAATGTTGCGTTTATATTTAATGAACATTTTCCCTCCGAACTTCGATAAGAAAGCTGGATAATTCGAAAATACAAGGAAGAAAGAAAGATTTATGAAATGGAGAAACTGAATGGCCTCCAGTCTCTGCTGTCTGAATGTGAATGTGGTAATAATGAATGTCTCTATATGTAAATGACAGTCATTATGAGGTGTTTTTAAATTCCATATTTTACTTCTAAAGAAGGACCACATCTATCTATCTATCTATCTATCTATCTATCTATCTATCTATCATCTAATTTGAATGAGCATATAAAATATAAACATATTACATAACATTCAAAGATACACAGCTAAATTTAACAAATTCATAATGAGAAATTATTAAAGCCTGTGTGTTTATTTAGTCTATTAATTACTGTTGTTTAACTCTCAGTCACTTTCTAGAGGTCAATGTGACCAAACGAGATGTGATTTGTGTTGTCTACCAGTCATCACTCACTTCACCTTTAATGTGTTGTGACAGGTGAAGTCATTGCAGTGATTGATGTGCTACTGTGTCTTTAAGCGCTAAAGAGAAACACAACATAATTAATGCACATGCAATGTGTTAAGCTCTTGACTGACTGAAAAAACGGCATCCCTCATGTCTGTGTACACATCAGTCAAGAGAATATACATTGAATATTTCCTTGTAATCAGTGTGAAAGAATGACAGTCGATGAGTGTTTCAAGTGCCTTGGCATCATTATAGGCTGATTAATTGTTTATTTTAATACAATCATTGCTCATTAGACCTCAGTTTAATGCTTTATTCTGTTTGGCTGACACATATGGAAGCATATAGGTAGCGAAATTCAATTTAAAATGCAATATGCAAAATGGCAACGCAATAAATGCTATTTGTCCTAAAAATTGCATTTTCATCATGACACCGTGGGATATTTGTAGCAAAATTCAATTTGAAAATGCATTCCGAGCTGATCACACCCACCCTCCATCAATCATTGCTTCAAGGCAGGGATTGGCGGAAGCCACAATGGTTTTGATTTATTTTCTATAACCGCACAGATGTGAAGTAGTTCCAAGTCTGTTGACCCGGTTTCTAAATAAGATATGTAATCAATGCCGTACGTAAGTGGTTTACACATGTTTTAGACAAAAATCCAGAAAATATTTTCAGGAGATAAACACATGTACATGTGGTAATCGTAGTAAGTGGAGAATTATTGACTCCATACTGTTGAATTATTGAAAATTAATACAGGCCAGAGGTGTAAAAGCCAGTGCTTTGGGTTTGCATTAACTTTAAATAATTCAACAGTCTGGAGTCAATTACTACTGACTTCTATATATCTTTAAGACTGACAGAAATGCTAGTGTCAGTCAAATAAAGCATTCCTGAGCTCTTATTATTACAATATTTTTAAATACAATTGAGCAAAAATGTTTCAATACTTTTTCATTACCATGTATAATAGGGAAATTTGATTTCATATTAAGACTTTAAGGACCATTAATCTCTGAACTTCAAATATTAACGGCAGTTTGAAGACTCACCGTCCTTCTCTAATATATTAACAGGCTGTTCAAAGGAAGAAGAGCACAATTCCTGATCTTAATTAGACACAAACCTATTTAAACACCTTATTAGATCTAAAACTCTTCTTAGTTACATGGTATAAATTCACATTTGCTTGGTTCGATAAACACGTTTGCTACTTTTTTTGTAAAGATGTTGGGACATATTTTAGTTCTTCACATCCTCAAATGTCTCCTGCTAATGTTAATGCAAATCAGTTTCTCTGGAAATGTTAAAAACCTCCTTGGGTAACAGTGGGTGTCTGTGAGTAACTGTGATTAATGTCCCAATTAAATGTGTGTTGGGTGAATCTGTCCTCGGGAATTTAATGAGTCTGTTTTCAAGTCTGATCACTTCCTTTTTCGCCTGACCTCTGATAGGGAGCGCTTATGTGCCCTGCATGAAATTGAGAAACTGAAATAGACAGCCAAGGCTCTCTGGAAGAATGTACCGATACATACAGAGTTCTGTCATGAAACTCTAGATGGCGCAGTCCAATAGGTCTAGCTCAATCTGACCTGGCGACATCATTTTTACATGGCAGCTGATTGGTTCTCTCCTGAATCGGTAGCCAGTGAGCTTACTGCTCAATATTCAAATACCTGGCTTTTGTTTACTGTAGCAGTTTGCAGCGCACTTCAGAAACCCTCCACCTTCCCCAGCTCCACCTGTATAGATTTGCTATGGGGTGATTCATGTATGCGATATGGGGGTTATTCATATGTGTTATATGTGCAGCAGCAGTATTTCTAGCGACAATGCTAGCTTTTTTCAGAACATTGCTATGTTGTTGCTATGCTGTTCTGACTGGTTGCTTAATGTATTAGTGAAACTGTGCTTGCTAGCAATCGTTCTTTAGATTCAAAGACTCGTGGAAAGTCTCTTGTTTTTGGTATTAGGATATTGACCACCTCTCTGTTTTTCTGCTCTCATGGGAGGGTTGTAGGCATTTCTAAAAAGGCAGAAGGAAAAAAAGGAGAAGACATTTGAAGCTTTAGAAGAGCTTATGCTTTATGGACTTATGCAAATTGAACACGACTGTAGCCATACAGGAGAAGCTGTTTTTTGTTTCTTACAGCACATTATGTCTCCCCACACAAAGCACAATGCCTGGCAGTTATTCTAAATGAATAATGATGAACAAAATTAACTGTTTGTAATCAAATGTTAACGACATGTCTACCAAAGGGGAAATATGCATAAAAATGAGCTGCTAGTGTCTGATCCTCGTACTCTCTTTTTTTTCTCTAGAGCGGGGTATTTGCCCCAAAACGTCCCCCTGCAGATGATCTCATATTTGTCTCAGGAGACCGAGTTTCTGCCGTGGCACGCTGCTAGTCGAGCTCTTTACCAGCTGGACAAACTCCTGGACCGCACTGAAGACCACAGCCTGTTCAGCGTGAGTCTGATCTCAGATCAGTTTGGTGTCTGGTGTATTTTAACCTTGACTAGTGCAATAAGAAAGACACAGCAGATATCTAGCAGCACGTCTCAGAAGGCTCGACTCACCACCAGACAGATTCAAACTTCCTCTGATCATCATCCAAAACATCAGTCCAAAATATTTCCAGACACAATGCCTGTTTGCTGCAGCATTTTAAAAAACTGACACATACTAAAAATAGAGTGAAATCTCCACCATTGCTTGTGCTTTATTGGCAATGTTCAGAATTGCATACTACTCATACTGTTTCTATACACTATGTATATTATTGGAAGTTTGTACCAAAAAAAAAAGAAAAAAAGAAAGCACTATGAGCATTTTTATGTTTTTAAAGATAGTATGCAATGCAGTGTACTAGTATTCCATTCTGAACACAGCCTAACATGACAGTGTCAGACTCTTTCTCTGTTCCTCTGGCTTCTGTCTTGCCTGTCCGCCTGCTTTCATATTCATTTATCACTTTGTTATTCAGAATATCACTCAAACGCCTACCCACAATCCCTCAGTGCGCATGAGTCATTTCTGCCCCTCCTCTGTAATGGACAACCCTTTAGTGTCAGCAGTGAGAGTGTGATGAATTTAATAACATCTTCTCTCTATTTTTCTCCATCACTGTGTTTACTGTGAGACAGAACAGATATTTAGAATGTAATGCAAGACATGAAACAGCTGGAGCAGATTAGTCAGGTGCCTTCAGCCATGTGCCCAGGTGTCTCAACCTGTCAGACCAAACCCCTCTCTGTGTGTGTTTGTGTGTGTGTTTGTGCTGGTCAGTGTATTTTGGCCTGTTGACACACAAACACAGCATCATTAATCGTCAAACTGAGGTTAATCTGTTGGCAAAACAAGAATACGTCACTCAATTGCTATAGAAACAGCTTGACAAACACACCTGATCAGCTGTATGGTCCACCACAGTATGGAAAAGAATGTCCTCTACCAGAATTTATGTGCTTTTATTCGTGTAAGTGTGTGTTAAGAATTGAATTGTGGCATAGCAGGAGAGCATGAAGGCATGAAGGAGAGCAGTCGTGCTAAATTAGCCATGACAATTAACTGCTGCAACATTTCCCTCAATCATATGGCGAGTCAAAACACACACACACACACACACACACACACACACACTTATACTGTACACCAGCGGTTCTCAATTCCAGTCCTCGCGTACCCCCGCTCTGCATGTTTTGCATGTCTCTCTTTGTTAACACACCTGATTCAGGTCATCATCTCGTTAGAAGTGACGAGAACCGCTGCTGTACACAATACAATACAAAACAGTAGAAAACAAAACCAAAAACTATAATAATTTAAATCCTGGTCTTAGCATGGCAACCATACTCACTCTTTTTCTGCCTTTTGTTTTGCACTTTTGTTTGGTTTTGCTTTACTTTGTGTTTTGTTGTATTTTTTGTTTTGTTTTGCTTTAATAATTTCTTTGCTTCCCGTTTTGTTTTGTTTTGTTTTGTGTCATCAGGACTATGTTCTAAGACAGGTGGAACCGAAGTATCACAAGTTGGGCTGGCCGGCCGCTTCCCCTGACAGCTCCTTCATGCAGGTGGCTTATCAGGCCGAGTGAGTCTTGAATTTCATATTTCTTGAATTATGTATTACAGTTATAAACTTATATGTAGTCTAAGTAAGGACACTGAATTGCAAAGTGCAAGCCAGACATTTTCCACCTCAGAGATGGGAATGACCTCAGTAGACATGTATTTAATTTTTCATTTTCCCCTTCCTCCATCTTTAGCTGCTAATGTACTTCCTTCTTTCCTCCTCAGAGAGTTGCAGAGAGAGGTGATGATGCTGGCCTGCAGTTTTGGAAACAAACACTGTCACCGGCAGGCTGTTTCTCTCATTTCAGACTGGATTTCCAGCAACAAGAACAGGTGAGCAAATTTAAAGAGTGACATCCACACACAGTAACATAACAGCTTTTATTCAATCCCAGTGTTTCTCCTCACTGGATTGACACAAAAACAAACATATAGCAAAGTGCCCTAATGATGTTTGAGGTTTCAATTAACTGCTGGCAATTGAGGCAGTTCTTTTTATTGAATTGGTTAAACTCAGAAATTAGTTTGTCTAAATCACGGATTTAAATCAGACAAATCTATGATTCACTAAACCAGCCCAAAATACAGAGTTAACTCAGTCACACACTGACTCGACCCTTAACCACTCATTTGACTGAATCAGAGTGGACTCCTACTAACAGATGGATTGTATAGTGACATGTAGTTAAAGATGCTCATTCAAAATGTCTCCAGTTTACGCATGTAACCATGGTTCCCCGAAGGGAACGAGACACTGTGTCCGAAGACACTACGGGAACGCCCCCAGCGTGACCATGCTCTGAATCACATGTGTAATCAGTCCAATGGAAGGGCGAGACGTCATAGGCGGGTGACGTAGTGACCAGGAAGCTATAAAGGCACGTGAGGTGGAACCGGCTTCAGCTTCAAGGAATGAAGCAAGCGCTCGCAGGGATGCCAGTGCCTTGACTCCCAGTGGTGAGGTGAGATCAGAGGACTCATAGGCAGTAGTAATGGCATCAGCTATCCACCGACTGAGGGTCTGCTTCGTAGCAGGCAGACCTCGCTTAGGGAGGAGGTATGCGGCGAGAGCTGCTCCCGCCCAGTAGCCCCTGGAGCTAGAGAGCGGCGAGGGAGGAACCGCAGGAACGCCGCCGCCTGTTTATGGGCCTCCTGGTACCTGTCGACGACGGAATTGACGGTGTCGCCGAACAGGCCAGAAGGCGCAATCGGGGCGTCCATAAGGAAGATCCTGTCTTTTTCCTTAATATCTGACAGGGTCAACCACAAATGTCTCTCTGCTGCCACTAGAGCTGCCATAGACCGCCCAATGGCACGGGCGGTCTCTTTGGTGGCGCGGAGAGATAAATCGGCGGTCCTTTGCACGTGAGGGCCTGGAGGGCAATGCCGGAGCCTTTAATGACGATGCCGCGCCGGGGGACAGATAGCTCGCGAGCGTCTGTTCCACCCGGGGCATCGCCTTATAACCATGATCCCTAACCCCCACCACATTTGCATAATGAGAGGAAGCGGGGGTAAATAGACATGCTGTATATGGTCTCACCCACGACCTCGACACCTCGGTGTGGAGATCGGGATGACGTCTCGCCCTTCCATTGGACTGATTACACATGTGATTCAGAGCACGGTCACGCTGGGGGCGTTCCCGTAGTGTCTTCGGACGCAGCTCGAGTTCCTGAAGGGGAACAGATTTTTGTTTAAAAATGCCATTTTAATGTAAAAGATGTCCTGTAGGAAACCCACCTCAATTTAGTTTTTGCTCTTCAACCTAAAAAAAAGTACATCCATCATTGTGAAGCCATACTACAAAAGTGACAGCTAGAGTTGTTGGGTTGAGTGTTGTGCTAGTATGTGTGGGCAATTTAAGGTCCGATCAATATGTTCTGCTCATCAACCCTGCCAAGATTCATACAGTAGGAGCTTTATTCCAAGTGTCCATGGCAACGCACATTTGTTTTCCCAGCTTCCCACAGCAATGTTCATATATTTGTATGCAGTATCACACTGTCAAACACACCATGCCACCGGCAGGGACTAATGACCATAATGGAGAATAAACAGGATTGTGGGTGTGTGTTTGTGTATCTGATGAAACGTCTTTACCCTGCACAAGATAGTGTTTGCCTACTTTTTAGGAAATTATTTTTTGTGCTTGTGCCAAACTGTTGGCTGCATGCCTACAAACACATGCAAGAGCACACACACACACACACATACACACACACACACACACACACACACTACATTGCATGTTGACAACCTCAAATGCACTGGTAATTTGTTTGCCGGCTTCTTTAATATCGTGCCCTAAAATCGACAGATAGACCTTAAATACACACACAGTTGCTTTATTACACATAAAATGTGTTACATATTGACCTTGGCTTCATATAATATGCATTTAATGACTTCTGAGGCCTCTGACATGACTCTAATAACAGTGGGCTGCTCAATTTAAAAGCTTTTTGGCCTAATATTCTTGCTTTCAACATGTGAAATACACACTCGGTTGGATTCAGCTAGTGTTTGTCCTGCTCAGTCAAAGATTTTCCACTCAGTGGCTCTATAATTATTACCCCGTAGAGTCCAGTGTGAGGTTTCTGATCGTGTCTGAACAGACAGAAAGTCTCTGTACTAAATACAATCCCTCCTGCTAGACGTATCATCATGTGGACAAGTTAGTCTAATCCACTGGCAAAGAACTAGAGCTCATGAAAGTGCTCATATTTGTGAATTTATTTTTATTTATTTTTTTTTTACGTTTTAAGGCATTTAGCTGATAGTTTTATCCAGAACGACTGATTAAAAATGATTTAGTTTCTCATGTACAACTGTCAAAGTCAACAGATGGCAGGAAATTAGTTCTGAAATTCATCTGCTAGAAATTAATCTGCCCTTCTTCGCCACTGTTTTTATGTTATTACTCACTGTTTTGATACTTATTATTGTGTATTATGTCATAACTGTTCTGAATTGTGCCTCTTACCTGACTGCAGAAGTCTGAATCTGCCAGATGTGTCCTTCATGGTCCTTTTCTTCAAAAATGACCACTAGTCCTACTGGGACAATAAAAAGAATCTGTTCAGGTTGATATTCAGGGATGAGCACATCATAAAAGAGGAATGTGTTTGATCTTTATGTCATTTTATGGTTTAGGTGATGATAATGTCACAGGAATGACCCAGCAGCGTTTATGAGCTGTACACACTGTACAAAATCCTGACAAATCCTCCTCGTTTATTAATTAAAAACAAGATACCACAGACTAAAAAAAGAAAACTGAAATTAAAGTAAGACAACTCTGCTGAGACTCAAGCTAAACTGCTTTTAAGTGCAGTTTTAGTCTCTGTTTGAAACAAAGTGTTTCACACAATGTAAAATACTCAAATAACTTTGTACATTGTTTCAAAACAGAAGTGTCTCACAGGCATATAGAATCTTTACAAAATCTCATAACAGCCATCTATTATAAATGTGTTGCCTTCACACAGCCAAATATTAGAGCAAATCAAGCTTTTAAATTCAGGTTACAATATCAGAAGTAAAAATTAGATTTATGGCTTATGTCATCTCCCATTTTCGTTCTGAAAATACCTTAAAATAATATATTCCAGAATCATGGCTGCTAACGGAATGTCACAAACATTATTCTTTAACTGTGTTTCTGAATTCACTTATCGTTCCTGTCAGTGGAAGTCATAAACAAGACATCACTTTCACAGGTGTGGAAATTTCAGTCTATATGCTCCAGTTGCTTGTGACATGATTTGATATCTTACTGAAGGTGCCGTTTTCTGTATTGCTATATTGAAAACTCCCAGAGGCTCCGACGGCTCATCCAGAATCAGCAGGTCTTTATTGCGCTTTGTTTGAGCAAATCAACAGTTCAGTCATTGTATCGCCGCGGCTCCTCCAGAGGTTTAATGTTATTTCTTCTTCCTGTACGAATATTACATGCATTGCCTCACAGCCTGAGATGCTTTTCTCTCTGTGTAGCTCTACACTAGACTGTTATTCTTTTCTGAGATCTGTAACCAGATGATATCCATGGGTCCATAGAGGGCGCTTACTTATGACCGATATATTGCTAGACTATATATATTGCACTGTGACTCACTTTGGGAGGCCTGCAGTGATGATTTGGGTCAAATTTTCACCACTTAAAAAATGATGACCTCTCCAAAGATCATCGAATCAGATCAGCTGGTGTTATTATGGACATTTTTCGCTGTGACAGAATTCAAGTGATTCAAAGTGACTGCAGACAGCAGAAGACCACTTGGACCAAAGCGGTCCGTTTTGAATATAAGAGTGTCTTTTTATTTAAAATGGTATTTCCCGCATAGACATTTTGAGTGAAAAGAAGAAACAGAAAAAGAAAGGGTAACACTTTAGGGAACGCATATCCACTATTAACTATTTTTCCCTCAAAAACTCCTAATTTGCTGCATATTGATACTAAGTAAGTTAATTAGTTCTTGTAGTAGTTGTGTTTAGGTATTGGGTAGGGTCAAGGGATCTAAAACACAAGAGATAAATACAAACATCATGCAGAATAAGGCATTCATATGTGATTTATAAATACTAATAAACAGCCAATATGCTAGTTACACATAACCTTGACCTTGGCTTCATATAATATGCATTTAATGACTTCTGGCATCTTCATGCTAATAAGCAACAAGTTAATAGTGAATAGTGTTCCATAATCTAATGTGTCCCCAAAGAAAGATCAACTTCTCACATAAGCATACAAATAAAAATGTAGAAATCCACTGACACTGTTTTTCACTGATTCTTCTGGAGGTGAAATGTTAACTTGTGATTTGCTATATTTGAACAACCCTGAGGACTTGTGAAAAATGTTCTCTCTTCAGGAAAATGTAAAATTTTGGAAATTAAAACAAGTATTACGTGTGAACACAATGCAATCTAATGGCGTGTGAATTTGATGTAACCCTCAGCAAACAATAAATGAACAGACTTGGTCACAGTGAGGAATACTAATCACCTGTACCATTCAGTGTGCATATATGCTAATCAGTGTATCACCATTTTCACTCTTTTCCCTGGACTCTAAAAGTCAATCTTTGTATGTATGTAAAAAGAAAATAGTAAATAGTGAAAAACATTTTGGCTCCATCAAGATGTAAATGTTAAAGTCCTCATGAAATCAAAATAACTCTGCTCCGGTCCATATACACGATAGCATGGAGCGGATCACATGCATAAGTCAGCTCAGACCACAAAATGTATCGGGAATGTAATTTGAATTCTACACAGAATGCTATATTTTATAGCAATATGGATGAGATTGTGGCTGGCATGCCCTGTCAAATGTGGCTTTACGGAGCTCAACGGCTCTGAACGGCTCTAGCCCAAGCCGTGATATAAACGAACGCTATTGGCTATTTTAAAAAGGGGCGGGGCTGCTTGATATGTTCCGCCCTGTCTTCCTGTTTCAGTTAAAATGACATCAACACATAGAGTAACGCTGCGTGTTTCTAAGCATTTCATGGGACCTTTAAATATGAGTATTTAGCATTAATTAGCTGTGAATTGTGTCTTCACCCAAATGTTTCAGTCAATCCTCTGTCCCACAGGATTCCACCCAACGTGCGGGACATTGTGTACTGCACAGGCGTTTCTCTGATGGATGAGGATGTGTGGGAGTTTATCTGGATGAAGTTTCACTCCTCTACCGCCATCTCTGAGAAGAAGGTTCTCTTGGAGGCCTTGACCTGCAGTGACAACATCTTCCTGCTCAACAGGTCAGTCGACCTCATTAACAAATGACAAAGCAACGAAATTCAAATAACAAGCTGCTGTAGCGTGGCACGTTTATCAGTCGGTCTCAGATGAAAGTTTTAGCTTCTTTTTAGCTTGGAATCTCAGTTCCACCGGCCTCTTCATTCAGTTTTCATGATTTTTTGGGGGGCTTTCTGCCATTTTATTTGAGAGCAGGTGTCTGGAGGTCTCTGGAGCATGTATTGTACTCCT